TTTAAGGGTATTACACAGAAACATACCAAGGGAACATGAATCAAATATGCACTTTTATTCATTTACAATAAACTCATAAAATACATCATTCTGATTGAAGCTAAGGGCATACAAAACTGTCCAACACTAAGTACAGGGTAGCTATCTGTAATTTACCCAAAAAACTAAAGAAAAGATGTTTGTTTTACCCTATAAAACCAACTCTCACATTGAATCAAGATATCAACTACTCCTTTAAAATCTAGTATGGTAATGATGTGGGGTTCCATGAGATAAGAGATATGGCCGTGCACTGTTTTGTGTTTCTTAAATGTAGTTTTTCCACTTTTCAGGCAGTAATAGCTTACAAGAGATGTTGCCTTGGTCTCTGCATTTATTTTTTTTATGGTACCTAAGTGAAATAGGAAAGGGCCATTGCTGGGTTTATTCTTGGGCTAATGAGCATGAGAATTCAGGTTTGTGTCTGAGGGCAGCCACTTTATGCAAAAAGAAGTTTAGGTCTGTATCCAGTGCACCCCTCCCAAGACCCTAGATAGCTCTGGGACCACATTGGGTAATGTCCTTATGGTAACTAAGTTGTGGGGAATTTTACATGATTGTTTCTTGTAGACTAGTAATAACTAAGTGGCAGAAATTAATAGAGGTAATTAAGTAAACTAAGGCAGCTTGTGTAAAGGTTGCTTTGATTTTGGAGTGACATGTTAAAGCCCATCTTTAGAAAGTAGAATCACTTGAGATGTTTTAAATGACCAATTGATAATGGCTCAGTTGGTAAGTTCTTTGGCTGGATGTAGTGAGAGACTTGGGATCAAATCCTGTTGCTACCAGGGTTGGGGGGTTATGGATAGGGACTAGGGGGATGGGGTGCTCCTTGTTGTGTAGCCCCATGAAAAAGAAATCATGGAAATCATATTAAGATAATTAAGCTTACTTAAATATTGGGGCCTTCATTTTTTTTTTTAATTTTTAGGGTGTGGGTATGATAACGGATTTGTTTAACTTTTGGGTGTTATCTTGTAGATGAACAAGCAGTGTCATTTCTCTCTTATTATTCATGTCTTAATCTTTTCATTATCTCCCATTCATGCTCCCTTTTACTATTTATGGGGCAGATTAGATAGGGTTGGGTTAGGATGGGAGGGGGGGGGGTGCTTTCTATGACCAACCTGATTTGTTGCAACTCCTACCTGTATTGGTGAATGGTGATAAGTTGGTCTTGAATGGGCATATGCTTTTCTTCCGGCCTCAAATTTTGTGTAAAGCTATTTTATGACTGTGAATAACCAAAACTTTCATTTTGTGATTTGAACCCCTCCTTTCAGGAACACATAGTTGTTCTCAATTTATTCCTATTCTGCATCTTACATTATTTCCCTTCATTTACCTTCTTTTTTATTTTGTGTTTTTAATGGAGCTACACAACAGGGGTAGCCCATCCCCTGTACCCCCCCCCCCAACTCTGGTGGCTCCGCTACAACTAGCCAGAGAACTTATCAACTGAGTCACCATCAGTTGGTCTTTTTTATTTTGTTCATTCATTATTCTTTTACTTTTTTTTTTTTATCTCAACAAGTTCTTCAACGTATTCATCAACCTAATCTTTCCTGTTTTTTTTTTTTTTTTATCAATAACTTGCAGATTTTATTAAAATTAGAGTGAAAAAGCACAGGCACAAGAAGAGGGAGATAAACTCTCTTATCTCACCTAATCAGAACAACAAAACAAGAGAACAATTACAAGATAGCCCAGAACAAAGAGTCCCTATATATCCCTTGTTTAGCTAACCCATCAGCAAAGGAGTTAGCACTTCTTTTAACCCAACTCAACTTCACCTCAATGTTCTTGGTTAACCAATTAAGTTTCCTCTTCTCATTGCTGTAGTTCCCAAAATTAGCAGTATCATTTCTCAGCCAACCCACTACCAGTTTAGAATCGCCTTCTATGACCAAATTGGTGATATTTAGTTCAATTGCCCTTTGAGTTTCTTCGATAGCAGCTGAAATCTCAGCTTTAAGAGAATCACCCAATCCAATTGGCCCTGAAAAGAGAGCAATTTTCACTCCCTCCTCATTTCTTATGACACCCCCAATACCTGATGGACCCAGATTACCCATGCTACTTTCATTAAAATTAAGTTTGACAAAACCACTAGGAGGAGTCCAAGAGGGTAAGGATGTGTCTTTGACCGGAGCTGAACTTGCAATTTCCTTCCAATTTCTGAACAAATCATCTACTGAAAAGTCTTTAAAAAGAGCCAAACACTTCAGCCAATGTACTGCTCTGATCTGAATCAGCTCCAGAATTTCTGGCAGTCTTCTTTCCCTATCTGAGAAAATTCTCCCGTTTCTTTCTTCGCAAATACTCCAGTAAACAGCAGCCCTGAGACATCTCCACATTAACTCTTCCTCTTTTTTTCGACCAGTTAAAAAAGGATGGAGCAAAAAGTCTTTGTACATCTGGTGGAGGAGACCAACTGCGTCCAAACAAAGATGAACACCACTCCCAAATGTGATTTGTAATAGAGCAGAAAATCAATAAATGGCAACCAGTCTCACCTTCAGCCTTGCATAGAACACACCAGCAACCTAATCTTTCCTGGTTGCTGATTAGGAAGAAAAATTCCTAAAGACATGTCTTTCCCTTCTTCTCAGGTTGATAGCTTTCTGCCATCATAAATTATATGATGTTGAAACCCCAATGTTGATAATCTGCTTAAATTGGTCATTTACTTGGCACTTAGGTGCTTTTGTCTTTATCCAATATATTGGGTGATTTTGGTTGTATTTTAAAGCTTGAATTGGTTTGGAGAAGATGCTTTGTTTATATTTTTAGTTTTTCAGAGGTAAAATTTTGAAATCTATTGTTAGATATATAATTCATTCTTACTAGAGGGTTGAACTAAAAGTAGATAATGCAAAGAAAAGGGGAATAGGGCTGATTTGCTGATGTGATGACAAATACAAACAAGAAATGAAGTGCATCTCTTTGGGGAAATTAAAAGAAAATCCTTCATATTGAAAACTATCCATTTTGGTTGAAAATTGTCATACATTGAACTGTTAGTTGTAAATTATTATTTTTCCCATGCTCAATAATGTGGGAAGATCTTACTTATCTACTTTTAAGGATTATAATGCGCTTCAATGAGTTTCTTGCATTTAGTTGTCTAATATCTACATGTGTTTTAGGCTTGTAATCAGCTTTATTCTCCAAGCTATGTTTGATAGAATTGTCTTAAATTTGATGTTTAACAATATTCTTTTTTTACCTTCCATGATTGTTGCAGTTTTTCGAAGGATACGGATACCATGGAACATCATTTGAGCAGATGTATCGTTGTTATCCAGCATCTTTTATTGATAAGGTCAAAATGTCTTCATAATTGTTGTCTCTTCTTTGGGCAGGCTGTATTGTAATATCATTCTGATTTTCATGAATAAATTTTCAATCATTTATCATAAAAAAATTGTTGTCTCTTCTCATTTTTTTTATCCATGTGCATTGCTGTAGTTATTTTGTGTGTGAGTGTGTTGCTGTAGTGAGAGAAAGAATGTTTACCATTATGATATAAATGTATTTTAAATGTTGTTTCCTCTGCACCCTTAATTAAGTTCACTATTTAATAAATAGTTTGGTACAAATTTTAACCTAACCGAAAACAAAGATCACTACACCCACTTTGTAATGACTATTAATATTACAATGACTTGATCAAGGAAACAACATTTAAAATACATTTATATCATAATGGTCAACCTTATGATATAATAACACACCCGGGTCATTACGTGTAGGCTTTTGTATTTGACTGCTAGGACTAATTTGTCAGTTCTATTATTTTAATGATTGGGAGCAGGATTTTTTTTTCTTTTTCTTTTTACTTTATTTGTTGACTCTCTCACCTTTACCCTTTTTTTATCAATAACCACAACTTTTGTTAATATTAAAAAAGGTAAATAAAAGAAGGTCAATGAGAGATAAACCCTCTTATCTCTCCCTAAGCTAACCTATCAATTTTACAATTTTGCTCAAAATATTTGATTTCTCCCCACCCCTTGTTTTGCTAGAACATTGCCCATAGAATTTGCATTCCTTTTGCCCATAGAATTTGCACTCCTTTTGACCCATTGTATTATTACTTCCATGCACTTTGTAATTCATCTGAATCTCTTCTCATTTCTGTATTTCCATAACTTTACCTCTTCACATTTTAGCCACGCCACTGCCAATTTGGAGTCACCTTCAACAATTAACTTTCTAATGTTCAAATTTCTTGTCCTTTGCACCCCTTCCACCAGTGCCATAATTTCAGCTTTTAGGTAATCTCCCTCACCAGCTGGGCCTGTATATAACATGATTGTTTTACCCTCCTCACCCTTGAACACAAAATTCCTGATATTCTTGGGTTCCGCAAACTACTTCCATCGAAATTTAGTTGAATAAATCCCCCCTTTCAACTAGTGCTATGCATCTTCATTTTTCTTAATATAAAAGATTTTTATTAAAATAAGGAGAAATGAGATTTTTCTTCCTCTTCTTCCTCCTTATCCCCTCCCTCTGAAGGAGGCTTATGCCTCTTATGTTCTGAACTATGCCTCAAGCCTTTAGGTAGTGGAACACCTCGCATCACGCCTCTGCGTTTTAAAACATTGGTTAAGAGAAGTAAGAAGTTTGGTGGATTAGGCTTAGGGAACATCCAAAAAATGAATGTTGCTTTGTTAGGGAAATGGTTGTAAATGTTTCCAATGGATAGAGACAAGTATTAGACAGTGTATGCCCTTAGCTCCAATCAGATTGACTTACATAAACAATTATCAATAGATGAATAAAGTACATTATTGTTTTATGTTCTTATCGATGTGTTTTCTGTGAATTACTCCTTAGATTGGACACTAATGAGATTTGTATTAGTTTAAAATGTTCTCAGCCATTGGATAGGCTTAGGGAATTTATCCCTTGACAAGGCTGACATTGGTGTGTTGCTGAACTGGTGGAGTAGCTTGTCTCAGCTGCTAGGGTTAGACCCCAAGTATACCCAGTGGGTGCTTAGAAGAAACACTGAACTTGTGTCAATTTCCAATTATGCCCTAGACCTTGGAGATAGATGAGCAAAACTGGAATGTTGCACTTAACTCCAGACTTAGATTTTATGATACTGCACTACATATTGGACTGAGTTGCCTTTGATGTGCCAACCAGTAAGATCCATCAAGGATCAAATACTTGGGCATGTAGGGGCAGTTTGGGAAATTACTTGAGTAGGTGATCATAGTGATAGGATCGATCCCTTTGTTAGACAAAGTGAATATCAGGCTTTATACTCTTTTTGATGGAGACCTAAACTACTAACAATGGATTTCAACTGTATTTGAAATCTGATTTGCAAAATATATTTATATGTTATATTACTATTTTATGAAAAATGTTTGCAAAAGGCTTTTAATCCCGGGATCCATTCGAGTAGAGAGTGTGACATTGCATTTTGCAGTCAGGGAAGAGGTCCTTCCTTGTGGGTAATGTTCTAATGATTATGGGTCGAAAGGTTAGGTGTAAGAGACCATTACAGGCTAATTACCTGATGGGCTTCATCTTACATAAGTCCATTATCCTTGGGTCTTCATAGGGTGGTTGAATGCAAGGATCATTTAGGTGTAAATGTTGGGCCCAAACTAAGCCCAAGCTGATTGGGTTAGTGGTTCACTACCTTGAACAGTGAATTCGGCTTAACCTCTTCTAGAGGTAGGGCTTAATGGACTTGTGTGAGACCTTTGTGGGTTCCACACCTAGCGTTTTAAAAGCGAAAGGCACACAAAAAGCGATAGGTTCCAAATGTTCCTGAGGCACAAGGTGCAAGCAAGGCGCACAAAATAAAAAGAAAACCTTAAAAATATAAAAAATAGAATAAATAGAAGAAATATAATAAATAGAAAAAACATGTAGAAATTCTAAGAAATCAGAAAAAATTCAAAAACAAAGTTAATTATTAGAGGTAAAGTATGTAATCAGCAATCTAAAGTTATTCAGGAAAATATGCAATCATGAATCATCAATCTACAGAAATAAAAATTAGAGATAAACTGATAAAGTATGCAATCAACAATGAGTTATTAGTTCAATTGGTTAATCAGGAAAATATGCAATCAGCAATCTACAGAATTAAGAAATCAGCACTAAATAATTAAAGGAGACTACACAAAAAAAAAAAAAAACAATAACAGAACAATATAACACATTCAATGGTTCGATAAAAAATATAAATATAAAAGAATTAAAGAATATGCCTATGAGCACAACCTATACAACATTAAATAATCAGCATCAAAGAAGTTAAAAGACACTTACCTCTTGGTATTGGTATCCCCTCCATGGCTCACACACAACAAAATCAATATAAGAATTAATCATTTACTGTAATAAGCAAATAAGGGATCAGATTTGAAAAATATTAAAATTAACAAGCTATTTGTTAAGTATTTAAATATGTCAATATCGATTTTCTAATATAAAAAAGGTTCTTTCATCAATCATCATTCACAAAGCACAACCTATACATAAAGTAAGTTTACTGCCTATACAAAATCTCAAAATCATATTCTCATATGTCCATTGATTCCATCCATCCATTCTTGATTCTTCTTTCCTTAATCCTCAAGATTCCAGCATTCATTCTTCCTCATCATTTTCCTCTTCTTCATTTGGAAGTTCTACGTCATCTTCATACTCATCAGATTTGTAATCATCGGTGTAGAGAAGATGGGCCAAATGGCCCATAGGCTGTTTATCCTTTCTTATTTTTATGTTCTTTACTGTAATGGGCCTTATTCTGGGCCTATTCTTTCTATGTTATGTTCTTTTAATTTCTTGCCCAACTAAGGGCCTCTTTGTAAATTATTAAAGTTTAACTTAATAAAATAGTGTTAGGGGGTAAGAGGAGATATTAAGGTTCGAAACTCTCTTCCTCTGAACCCTTATTGCCGCCATCTTCTTCTTCTTCTCTTCCTTAGAAGAAGGATTTCTGCTGTTTTCTTTTGATTTCTGCATCTGTTCTAAACAGTCCTCTATTCTCAAGGACTGTTTTTCTTCTATCTGCATTCTCTTCTTCTGTTTCTTCTTTTATGTCAAATTCATCTTCATCTTCTAAATGAAGGTGATGTGCTAGGTTTTTTGGAATTGGTTAACTTGGGCCATTTGGCTCGTAACTGAGAAGTTGAGCTTGAGCCCCTAGATCTTGTATATCTTAGTGGCTTTTCAACTCCAGAAGCACGAGCAACATCTCCCCATGTCAATGAATCACCCTCAAACACCAAATCATCTTCAGCCCCGTCCATCTCTCCTAATAACCACTCATTGCTCTCATCAATATCTTTTAGAGAGATGAGATCAGTGTAATTGCGTGAATAAGAACTCTCTTTCAGCATTTGGTTGAACTTAATAACACCAAATCATTTAATCGCTTTTGATCCAAGTGTTTCCTCTTTTTAGTATGAATATGTGAATTCATAAAATAGCATTGAATTACTAAAAAGATTAAAACTTAAATGTAAAATATAAATGTTAGAGTGCTCGAGTCAGGGGTATTTTGGTCATTCTGGTTTATCTTCTTGGAAGTGAAAGGTCTATTGTATATGAGTTTAAGTTATGTGTCCCATCTTATATGAGGGACAAAACTGTCTTTCTTGTAACTCCAAGTTTATGAATAAAATCCAAGTGGGTCGGCTAGGAGAGTGATTTTTCACATTCTCTCTTCTAGTCTGGC